CTTTTTAAATGAAATGACTCCTCGAGTCAGGAGCTGAGCTTATAGATCAAATTCTGTCTCAGGGACTCCCGGGGCCTGCCTCTGTTTCCGTCTGTAGAGTGGAACTCGGTGATATTAAACAGCACAGGAAATGAGTGGGCTTCACCAGGGGGGACTGGGAACTCCTCTTGCTCCTCAGGAACTTCAGCTACAACTTGATTTCTGGTGGGACACCCATAGCACCTCTGTCCTGTTCAGCCTCTCCAAATTGTAAAAAGTAAAAGCCATAATTTATTGCAATTTTTTTAAAGGCTTGGGTTGTTGCACTTTGAACATTGTCTAGGTAGCTTGCATTTCACATTAATCTAAGTAGTTCCATAAGCACTGTCACCTGCAGGGTGGGCTCTGTGCCCCCTCGTGAGGGGCAGGGTGAATCTGACCTGGACAGACACCATCCACAGGCTGGCCACTTGCAGGGGGGTGGCGGCCATAGACCACACAGGGGTCCTGTTTCCAGGCCTCCTCAGGGTATTAGGGGTCCGTCACACACACACACACACACACACACACACACACCAAAGGACCTGAATCTGTGCCTCAAACATTCCCATCTGCCCAGTTGTTTAGGAAACATCAAACCTATTCCCTTGCCCTTGGCCCCGCTCCCAGCCCCCCGCCTCCCTCTCTCCGTAAAGTGATAGTGTAGAGCCAGCCGGGTGAGGCCATGCCTCAGACCTGTCCACTCTCTGGTGGACACAGGCTCGGCTCAGATCCTGGCTCCGCCACTGTGGGACCTCGGGCACTTTGTGTATCCTCTCCCAGGCTCAGTTTCCTCATCTGTGCAGTGGGGATGCTGACACCTTCCTCACCCAGTGGCATGGCTTATTGAGGTGATATGCATTCAGGACCTGACAGAGGTATAACACGCTCTCGATGCCTGGTTTTACCGCTGTTAGTCATATATTATGAATCTCTTATTTTTTTAAATTTAATTTTTTTTACATTTTTGTTGTTGTTCACGAATCTCTTAAATAAACCAGTACTACATTACCTTTGTTTTTAAAACTCTCTCCGAATCTATAGGTTTTATTATTATTTTTTAGTTAAAAAGCACCTTTAGTATGTCCCTTACATTGTTGCCAAACCGAGCGCCCCAGTTTGGCCCCCAGGCCTCTCTCTGAGAAGCCCAAGTTCGGGCAGCCCTGCGGGATCCCGCGGGAAGCCTGCCCCGCAAGCCAGCGGCTGATGGCTCCTCTGATTTCGGTCTCGTTCCTGAGCGCGCTGTCTCGGCTTGCAAGCCTCTCCAACTCCGCGCCCGCCCTCCCTGCATACATTAGCCTTAATGTATTCTCTCTTGAATACTCATCATATTAAGGCTCCCGCTAGATACCTTGCTCGAAATAAATTTTATGGGCATACATCCTCGCCCTCATCCCCGTGCATTTGCGGACGGAGGAGAAATATAGCCGCATCTTTCCTCCCAGGCAAGACCAGACAACAATTAGGTGGGAATCAGCGGCCTCTGGCCCCGGGTCGGCGAGGTGCGGGGAGGGAGCGGGCGCGCGCCCCGCCGGGGCTCGCCCTGCGCCCCGAGGACGGCTGTCAGTCCGGTTGTCCGTCTGGTTCTCCAAGGGTGAAGCTGCCTCAGCTAGCCCGGCCCCTGGCTCCCCAGAATCCAGCGTCTGCTCACACAAAGACGCCCCCAGCGGGCGCTGTGCCCCGGGCGATTGCCGGGCACCAGCCGCCGGGGCCCACGGGTTCCTGCGCTCCGCACCCATTTGTCCGCAAACCTCTTCCCTGAGCCGGAGGGCTCCCTGGTTAGAGCCGCTCTCCCTTCCCTGCGAAATGACGCCGGGCGATCTTCCCGATGCCCCGTTCCTCAAGCCCCTGGCCCAGCAGCCGCAAGGGCTCCCCACGCAAACGCGGGCAGGAGAAACCCCACCCCCGTGCCCTGTAGGACCGCCTTCGCCTGCTTGTCCCTCTCTTCCCCCGCTTCCCAGGCTGGAATCGCCGCACCACTGGAGCTCCTGGTTACCCTGGTTATCCACCCATCACTCCTCGCAGTCTCGCCTGTGTGCGTCCAGCTATCTCGGCTCCTAAGGCCCTCTGCTCCCTCAGAGCCTCCCTGGCCCCTCTGGGGAGGCTGGGTCCTGGAAATGTCTGCAGAGAGGCAGGGGCGTGGTTGCATGAGCACCTACTGGAGGCAGCCGGGCAGCGGCCCAGACTCCCCATACTTTCTGCGTCTTGGGGGTGCGCCCTGAGCCTCCCCGGGGGGTCATGGCCCCTGCGCAGGGTTCCCAGGAGGCTTCAAGGGACCAAGCCAGGTCCCTCACTTTCCTTTCCCTTCCCCTGCCTTCCCCGCCGCGCCAGCAGCACCACATCCGACACCTGGTTACTGCAGGTATCTCCTAATAACAGCAAGCCCTCATTGAGCACCAGCTGTATACTGGATGCTTTGTTTGGTCTTCACAACGATCCAGTGAGGTAGCAGGTCACCACCGCCTCCCACCCCACCGCTTTCACAGGTGAGGAAACCGAGGCAGAGAGGGCGGTGTAATTTCTCAAGGTTAAAGAGCAGCGGTAGGATTCACGCCCAGGAAGTCTAGCTCCAGAGCCCACGGTCTGGCGCTGCACGGTCCTCCCCCGCCCCCCCCCCATGGAAATCCCTGTAGTCAGCTGTGCTCAGGGCTTTGCTGGGCACATCGAACTTCTGGGTAAGTAGTTACTGATTGAACAATGTCTTTGTCATGGAGGAAACCTTTTGAGTTGGAAAAAAACACCCATGCACACTGGGACAGGCATCAAACGTCCCATCTTCATGTATCTCCCTATGTGTGACCCCTGGGCGTTTTCATGGGGCATTTTGGCCTGAGAATGGGGTCAGAGGGCAAAGTAACCGAGGGGTCTGACATTTGGGCAAATGTTGCTGGCCTGCTGAAGTCAGGGAGACCTGAGTGGGGCTGGGGTTTAAATGGGTCCCAGACTGATGCATGTACAGGCTAGTGATGACAATTCAGTGACTGTCCCAACAGCCTGTCTCTGAGTTTTGGATGCAAATGACAATACTTGAGAAAGCTTTCTCCCTACATAGCTTTCCACGTGTTCAATCCCCACCCCTCACCCTGTGCATTGAGGCTAATTCCCTTATGTGAACACTTTGAAATTACATCACAACCAACCAACATGACGTGAGTGAAGAAGCATGTACGGTCCCTGGGAGGTTTGGTTTCATAACCCTGGTCGGCATTTTGGAGTGTTCGTTCGGAAGGAGCATGTGAGCAGTATTTCCAGGTGGGCTTCTTAGAGAAGAGTTGATCAGCCGTTTATCCAGTGATGAACGTCTCTGGTGTTACTCTTGCGAGCCGGGCACAGTGCTAGGCAGTGAGGTTACAAAGCTGAGAAAGAAACAGGGGTCCCACCCCCTTAGGGTCCCACCTTCTCATGGGAAAGACAGTGTGCAAACAAATAGTGAGCCAAAGTTCTATTTATAATAGAGGGGGAAACACTGGGGCTGCTGGCCCCCCAACATGCTACCATAGGAGGCTACCATAGGGGATGACATGCTGGCACTTGAGTGTTTTTTGTTCTCAATTGGTTGCCTTCCCTTTTGGGGGTGGGGAGGGTGGGTCAGGTAATGGTTAGAGATGCTGGCGCTATTTATTCTTCCAGCTTTGGAAGCCTGATCATTTTGTCTGTTTTGAAGCTACTTAATTGGCTCAAAAATCCCTTAGTAAAGATGAAATGGCAGAAAAACAGGCCTTGGGTAGGAAGTCCCTGTGGGAGGGCAAAACAGGGTTCAGCTCCAGACGACTGAACCCACTTTCACTATTTATGTAGAAGGTGGTCCGTTACCAGGTATTAGGCAGCTCTCACCTCAGTGCAGCCAGCTCTGGGCCCAGCTTCCAGGAACAACTCCCAGCCCCCAGAAGTTCATTGCCTCTGCCATGATCGATCAGGACATTACCCCCACAGACCCTCATAGCCGCTGCGTGCTCCACACCAGCACTGTGGGACCCTGCCCATTGGCTGTCCCTCCCTTTAACTTAGCTCTGAATCCAGGTCCCTTTTAAGTGCATCAGATTGGCAGACTCTAAGTTCCATTTGGAACCTGAGCTGCAAGGGAGTCTGGAAACGCAGTCTCTGCTTTGTCTGCCTGCAGCACAGGGAGGCAGATGCAGAGGGGATGGTGTTGGGGCCAGTCCACAGTATCCATGGCAGTTTGTTAAAATACTCTCAGGGGAGTCTCTCAGAACACTGACATTCTCCCCTGCAGGACCACCCTCAGACCTGGACCTCCATCACTGCTCACCCCCCACACAAGTCACTTGCTTTTTCAGTCTGATGGCCTCTCAGCCCATGCCTAGGCAGGGCTCACTTAGGGGCTGATGTGGTTAGCCCAGATTCCACCCAGCAGTGAGTTAAAATGTCAGGGAAATGGAGGAGAATGTTGTTGGCCTTCCTGGCCCATTGACTGTGGAGTTTCAGCTGGCATAAATGGCGTTAGCAGATGCTGCTGGCCTTGTGCTGCTCTTAGAAACACAGGCAGCTCGCCCTGGCTGGGTGGCTCAGTCATCTGGAGTGTTGCCCCACGCACCAGAAGGTTGTGGTTCAACCCCCTGTCAGGGCACATACCTAGGCTGCAGGTGCGATTCCCAGTGGGGACATGTACAGGAGGCAACTGATCAATGTTTCTCTCTCTCGCCCACCCTTCCTCTCTCTCAAATCAATAAACATATCCTTGGGTGCAGGCGTGGGTGAGGATTTAAAACCCCTCACGGGCGACTCTTGGGCCAAAGCCACCCAAGGCCAAATCAGCAATGCATGGTCTGAACTTCAGCCCCTGGACCAGGGCCCTCTGTACAGCGTACAGCCTGCATAACTGTATGCGGCAGCCCTGGAGGTGTGGGTTGTGTCCTCTCCCACCGCTGGCAGAGTGGGAAGGCATCCAACCCCCCCAGGGCCGGCCTGGTCAGCAGGGCTGTGCGGAAGGCTCATGCTGCCCCTCTCTCCTCTCCCCGCAGAGATCCCCCAGTGCGCCGGCTGCAACCAGCATATCCTGGACAAGTTCATCCTGAAGGTCCTGGACAGACACTGGCACAGCTCCTGCCTCAAGTGTGCAGACTGCCAGATGCAGCTGGCTGACAGGTGCTTCTCCAGGGCCGGGAGCGTCTATTGCAAGGAGGACTTCTTCAAGTGAGTCAGAGCTGGGACGCGGCCTCCCCTTCCTTGCCTGGGTCTGTCTCTGCCTCTCCCTGTGCAGTGGGTGGAGGGGGTGGGAGCTGGCAGTGAGGCATGTTGGGTCCATCCATGGGGGCGGTGTATCCTTGAGCTGAGAGGCTGCTCCTCTGAAGACCCCCGTCGGATCACCAGCCCCATCACCACCAGAGGGCCTAGGGGTCTCCACCTCATCTGAGCTCTGCCAGGGCAGCCGGCAGGGAGCATGCGCCGGACTTCTGCAGGGTGTAGCCTAGCACAAAGTGCTCCTGCAAACCCCGAAAGGAGATGTTCTCTCTGTCCTGATGAGTCCTGGTGAGTCTGTGCTTCACGGCTGTCTGTGTCTGTCTGCTTCTTGGGCCTCAGAGGTTTGGAAGACTGCTTCTGGTAGTGGTCCAGCTAGGGTCTGTGAGTGTCATCACTTTCAACGGAAGAGGCAGTTTCATGCGACAGTTAGGAGCCCAGACCCTGCCTGGGTTTGGAACCACTTATTAGCTGTGTGCTCTTAGGCAAGTTGCCTAACTTCTCTGTGCCTGGGTTTGCTTACCTGTAAAATGGGGCTGATGATAACAGTTCCTACTCCATGGAGTTGCTATTAGCATTGGGTGAGTGAGTCTGTGTGAAGCCCTTAGGATAGCGCCTGGCATCTGCGTGTTGGTTCCTAACACAGTTCCCTTGATTTTTCATTCCGATATTGGGCCCATCAGAAAAAGGCCTGTTGGAGCTTTGGGTCAGGGTGAAGGGACCACCTGGAAATTTATTTCCATGGCATTTAGTCTGGAACTTGTGTCCCAGAATCTAGTACCCAAAGCACTTAGGCCAGTGCTGCTGCCACCGTGGACCAGCTGGTAACAGCAAAGCGGGAAGGTTCGCCAAGGCCTGGACACATTTGGTGCAGGGGAGCAAGCGCACCCCTCGGAGGTTGTGTGTTCTGGGACAGGGAGAAGAAACGCAGTCCTGGAAACAGAACATGACTTCTCCCAAATCTCCCAAGTGTTTAATTGTAGGGAGCAAGCCCTCTGTGTTTCTGAGGATTTCCAGCTGCTTTTTTCCACCGCCGGCTGGAAAGCACATTAAGGAGCGTCGTGGTAATGACTGGGGCTGCCTCTGAGGCTGTGTCCAGAAGGCGGCTCTCACTGTCGGTGCCCATCCCACTGGGGCCCAGTAGGCACTGCCGTCTCCTTGTGCGTGTGCGTGTGCACCTGAGGGTGGGGCAGTTGCGGACACACTGGACAGACCCTCCACGGTTCCGTTTGGGAGAGGGCCTCTGGTCCTGCGTCTGAGCCTTTCGTATGCACTTCCGCTTCTCCCGTCTTCCTTCTCCTTCCCCGGCTCCGCCCCTCTCCCTGTTTCCACACACTCCACCCACTCCGCTCCTCCGTGCGAGGAGAGTGCGCCTTTGTCTCCTTTCCTCAGTGGTGGCTGCTCTTGGACACCTGAGGGGGGGGATTGCATCGTGTGTGTGCACGTGCAAGTCTGCACCTGTGTACACTTGGGAACAGGATGGTGTGTAGTGTGTGAGGAAGGCAGGGAAAGCAGGGGCTTGGGAGAGTTGTCCCTGCCCCACAGTCAGGCCACTATCCCTTCCATGTGCCTTTGGAAAGCCTCAGTGAGCTCTGGGGGAGGCAGCAGGCCCTGTCACCTTCCTGCTGACTGGGGGACAGGGTTGGTACTGGGATGTCCCTGGGTCAGACCCCCCGCTGGTCCAGCTTGGCAGGTCGGAGCAGCCTGTGGGGTGCAGGCAAGGCCTGTCCACTGCAGAGCCAGGGCCCCTGTCTGCAGAGAAGCTCTTCTGGGCCCCAGAACCACGTGAGGGCGCCCTCTGGTGTGTGGACCATGACTGGCAGGTTGCAGGGTTGGGAAAGGGAGGTGGCAGCTTGGGTGCAGGTTTGGGGGAAGGAATGCTGTGGAGAGAGAATCCCCCTAGGCCCAGGAGGGGCTGGGGGTGCGGGCTGGAAAGGGATCAGCACTGCTTTACAGACAACAAGCTCTTGAGAGGAAATAATGGCAGCCACTCACCCAGGCTGGTGCCCCATGCCCCTGCCTGCACAGGCTCCCCATGCCGTGGCCCTCATTTGGAATTTTCCAGGCCCTTGCTCAGCAATAACCTCCTGACTGATCCCCAAACCCCTCTAGCCCACATGCCTCCCACCACACCAGCACCCTCCCTTCCAGCTCGGGTCCTGCCTGAGTACCCCCAGGTCTCTCAGTAGGACCCTCGGCCTGCAGAGTATTCCAGGTGCCCTGCGTCCATCCTTCCTCCCAGTCCTTAGCTCACTGCCTTGCTGGGTCCCAGACACCCCCTCCCAGCAGGCTGCCCCCTTTCCCAGGCATCATTTTCCCACCTCCACCCCGTGGCCACTGTTTCCCAGGCTGTTTCATCATCCAGGGACCATGCTCAGCCTTTCAAGGTCTCCCCTGGTCCTTTCACGGCCGTGAGCCCAGTGCCCTGGCCACTGGGGCCCCTCAGAGGCATGGCCACCCGGTCTCTTCTGGTGACTCAGCAGGAGCAACCTTGTTTCGCTCACTCCTCATGAACCTCTTTGATCTTCCCGTTGACTTGAGGGAAGACTTAATTGCTAGTCATTCATATTTCTGTCCTTCACCTATCCACTGGCCCCAAGCCCTGGCCATGGTCTGTCACCGGGTTCAGTGCCACAAAGCATAGATTATAGCAGTTGGTGGCCAGCTTTTTCTGTCCCCTGCATGGTGTCCTGCGAGTCTTTGAGGCCCAGGCTGCCTGGGAAATGCACAGTCCCCTTATTTAGCACAGTATTCTCCCTGCCCCCACAGGACTGCCCTGCTTCACAGAACCACCGGTTTCAGGGGTAGATCCTTAGGTAAAGCACAGGAGCTGTCCATGGCTTTGGTGCTGATTCCAGGCCATTAAGGCTGAGAAGCGGGGGCGGGCTGCTGTGCGGACAGAAATGTAAAACCCCATTGCCAACGGAGGCTCAATTAGAGGTGAAGATCAGGCAGCTCCGAGGCCTCTGGCCATGTGGATTCACAGGCAGCTGGGCCCACCACCACCCCAGCTCTTTGGGACCGTGGCTGTTTGGTACAGGGAGACACAGCTGCAGGTATCATCCCAGTCCTAGGTGAGGACAGGGAGGGAGGGGGGGTGGGAGGGAGTTGTCCAGGGTCAGAGTGGCTTCACCACCAACCCCTAGGAGTCTTGGGACCTGCTGCTTACTTGGGGCTCAGGCTGTAATGTGGCCAGAATTCTGAGTGTTTTGCTTCTCATGGCAGCTCAGGAAATGCCCGGAGGTGCCTGCTTTCAGATGGCACAGTGGGGCACTTGTGCCATTGGGCACCATGAGCAGAGGGAGCAGGGTAGTCCCTGGAACCCCAGGTCCCTCCCTGGTCTCATGTAGGCGTGGGAGCTGGTTCAAGTGCTGGGTGCCCTTAAGCAAGTTCCTTGACACCTCTGAGCTCGTCTGCTTTTGGAAAAATGAGAATGTTCATGGTGGCTGCTTTAGAAAACCTGGCATGCTGGAGCATCTTGCAAAAGGGAGTATTTTCACCAGCAGAGTGGGTTGGGGAACCCAAACTCTGCACCTTGTACTTGAATTTGCCCATCACACCTCCGACAGCTTTCAGCTGTGAGATTTGGAAGGTGCCCAGTCAGAGCCAGAGAGATTGCCTTCTCTATGCCCCTTGAATCGAAAGAAAAAAGAATCCTGACTGTAATGTGAAGAGTGGCCCCCTGAGGTGTGTCATATCTTGGAAGTGGAAGCAGGACCCAGGGGGAAAGCTGGAGATGAGCTTTGAACTCCAGGCGATGCGGTCATACTGGTGACTGGCAGCAGAGGGCGCTGTTGCTGTGCCACAGACAAAGCAGTGTTGTGGAGGTGGTACTCTGTGGTTGTTGCATTTTTCTATTGGGGACTGTTAAACTGTCTTACTCAGTAACATTGACTGATTTGTACTGTTGTTGCTTCTCGGGTTCTTGGCTCCCCTTTCTCCAAAGGAAATAAGATTCTGAGGCCCGAGAGGAGAGCAGCAGTGTGATTTCAAGGCCATCCAGTTGCAGTCACAAGCTGAAGTGCCAACAGCTCCTTGCACTGCGTTTGCTAAGCAGGTCCTTTCTGGACTGTGTTCCCAGCATGTCTCGGGTCCCATGTCACCTTGCAAAGGGTCTGAGAGTAGGTCCCCTGGGCCCCCTCTGGTCACTGACTAGGTTCTGGCAGGAGCCTGGCAGCTCCCTGGCTCTGAAGTGCAGTGAAGCCAGGACGGGATCTCTGCTGCGTGAGCTGGTTCAAGTGCTGGGCGCCCTCAGGCAGGCGCCGTGAAATGGCCAAGCGTGTGTCTCCTTCAGGAAAAGTGGGAATGCTGGTTGGTGGAGGCTGCTTTAGAAGACCTGGCACGCTGGAGCTCTTCTGAAAAGGGGGTTGTGTCAGAAGCAGAACAGTTTGGGGAACCCCCTGCTCGCTGAGCTCCTGTCCTGTGTTTTACTAGCTGTGTGTCCTCAAACACGGGAGCCGGCCCTTCTGACCCTACTCCCTTACCTGTGAAGAGGCGCTCCTGCCCCACGGGGTTGCGGTGAGGTGGGAAGGTCGTGTGTAAACTGTGCCCAGCACCAGGCGCTTTATCAGTATCCCTGGGTTTCTGGTCCCAATGTGGCCACGTGACCACAGCCCTGGCAAGCTAGGCCGTCCGGGTCCTCCCTCAAGGCTGGGCTTGCGCTGGCTTCTGGCCTCTTCACCTCCATCCTCCCACCACCCCACCTTCCCCCACCCTGCCATCCCAGGTGTGATACCTTCCCACTCGGGTGACTTTTTTTTTCAATTTAAAAAATATTTATTTATTTATCTTTAGAGGAGAATGGAAGGAGAGAGGGAGAGAAATATCAATGTGTGGTTGCCTCTCGTGCGTCCCTTGCTGGGAACTGGCCTGCAACCCAGGCATGTGCCCCGACTGGGAATTGAACCACGATGCTTTGGTTCACAGGCCCGAGCTCAATCCACTGAGCCACAGCA